CAAACAGATCAGAAACATTGTCTTGTGTTTTTCATAAAAATCTTGAAAGCTGAGAAATATAAGCAGTTTATAGCGAGCAGTGTCGGTACTCTATTATTGTCCAAGAATAAGTAACATTCATCATGTTCCTGCTGTGAGAGCAGAGCTTGCTTTGTCTTGCTGGCGAAGGCCTGCTACCCTGCTGGATTGGAGCAGGTGGGATAGATAATTTCTGGACAAGTATGGGGCCAGCAGGTGCATGGTGGTTAAAGGGCACTGGATTCCCACATGGCTGACTGCAGTTCAAGTCCTGGACCTGATGGCTTGCTTTCACACTTTCACATTCTCTCTCTCTCTCTCTCTCTCTCTCTCTCTATTCCTCTCTGGTCAAATTAAAATAAATAAAATATTTTTTTTTAAATCTTGAAAGCTGAGAAATATTATAAGCAGTTTATAGTAAGCAGTGTCGGTACTCTATTATTGTCCAAGAATGGGTAACATTCATCGTGTTCCTGCTGTGAGAGCAGAGCTTGCTTTGTCTTGCTGGCGAAGGCCTGCTACCCTGCTGGATTGGAGCAGGTGGGATAGATAATTTCTTGGCAAGTCCATGGAGGTTACATGAATGTTTAGTTACTCTCTGATCTGTTGTTTTTGTTTTTTTGTTAGTTTTCTCCTCTCACTTTTAATTACAAACACACAAATTGGCTCCCACAAATCAGTGAATTATACTCAATCAGTTGTGCTGATCACAAACACGTAAATGAGTAGCTCTGCTTACCATTAACACAGAAATGAGTTTCCTTTGTCATTATTTATTCTTTTATTTGTAAAGTTTTTATGTTATATTTTCAACTGGGAAAAAAGGACTAGTAGCTAAAAACATGAATTTCAAAGCATACATTTAAAACCAGGGAAAATATGTCCATATGAAGGAAGTTAAGAATGACCTATAATTACTAGCCCTGTGAGTATCCCTGAGTACCCTAAGGTACCTCTGACAGCAAAGTAGGTCATAGACCCACCCTTTCCACAGCCAATGACTTAAGCAACAATCTGAAAAAACGGTGTCTACAGATATACCTAATTAAAACAGAAATGTTCTTATTGCAAAAATGCAAATGAGCATGCTTAGATACATCTTGTGGCAGAAAACCCTAAACAATAACTACCTGAAGCTGTACTAATATAGCATCATTTAAAAGTCACTCAGCAAAAAAGAAAATTTTTTTTGAGAGATTTTTGCTACAGGGCGTGTGAGAGACAGAAAGCAAGAAATCACCCCCAGGGCGGATGGCCATGCCACAGTCCCTTCTCCTCCATTCTCTTCTCAGGATCTTGGGCATGCACACACACGTGCCTGGCATGAATTTCAAGCCACTGGGTCCAGGACTCAAACTGCAGTCGGCCTTGTGGGACTCTAGCACCTTAACCACTACACCACCTGCTGGCCCCCAACTAGCAAATTTTGAAGGAAAATTTCCAGAATTTTTTACAAATACATAAAATTCCTAGCTAGATATAGTACAGTAAAAGGTACAATAAAGTGAGCAAGGTCAAGATCAATTTCTTTTTTTTTTAGTTTTGCTATAGTATATGTATGCACTCACCAGAGAGAGACAAGGAGAGAGGGAAAGTGGGAAATCATACCCTCCCCCAGGGGGGATGGCCATGCCACAATCCCTTTCTTCCATTCTCCTCTTGGGATTTTGGGCATGCATGCACATGGCACTCAGTGTTTTTTTCAAACCTCTGGGTCTGGGACTTGAACTGTAGTCAGCCAGGTCTGGGACTTGAACTATAGTCAGTTTTGTTGGATCCAGCAGACTTAACTACCACACCATGTAACATAGCTGGCTCATAAATGTTTATTTTTTTAAATTTCCTTTTGGAAGTATAAAAGTATACCCTTCACCACCACTCCCCTTCCTCCAATATCCAAAGGATTTTTTTTTTCCCCCAGTTTCTAGCTCAGATCACTTATTTACTCATAGCCCCCACAAACTGACTCATCCTCAGAGGCAGCTTGCCAGTTCATTGGGTGTTTTGGAGCAGTGACAGATGGGAACAAGCAAGGAAGGAGGGGGAGCCTGAGGTTTCTGACCTCCCCATTCACTATCTCTGATCCCAGTCACTTATGTCTTTCTAGATACACCATTTGATCTTTCACATCCCAACAAAGGAGAAACTCTTTTCAAAGTTGACCCATTTAATGCATCTATTTCTAATGATGAACACGGTCGAGACAAAACTGTGCATATTTCTACTGCAAACAACTTTGCTGTAGGAAAAATAAAGCACAAGAGTTGGAGAATTGTGAGATGCTTAGTTCATTTACATGAGTTAAAGAACACAATTATCAGCATCCTGTCAGACTGTACACTGATTAATAAAAGCCTGATAAGTAAATCAGAAAGATTGATTCTGGGGTAGGATTAAGTTGACTGATTTAGCAGACACTGGTAATGTAAAAAGAATTAAAGGAGGGAAAAACATTTTCCTTTATGTCACTGTTTCCTGTGTCTGAAACACTCAGTTCCCACCTCTTCTATGAAGCCCTCAGGCTCAGCTGGGGTCAGATCAAGCTGTTTTTTCTGAATCACTTCTATGTCTGTGTATAAACACCTGGCAGGACCAGAAGTAGGCATCTAGGTCTATGATGGTTGTGTTGTTAAGAAACTTAGTAGCATGACAAAAAGTTTCTCACTACAGAACAATTGGCGTCTTTCAAAAGGGATCCAAGGGCTATTTTTTGTTTTTTGTTTTTTGTTTTTTTCACTCTGGAACAATTTGCTCGCTTATGGCATCACTCATTGACGTCTCATCAAAAGCCCTGGGGCAGGGTGCGGGGTGGGGGGAATAGGCGGCAGGTAGTGTGGTGGTTAAGGTGCTGGGGTGCTGGATTCCCACATGGCTGACCATGGTTTGAGTCCTGGGCCTGGCAGCTTTTATCATTTTGTCACGCTCTCTCTCTGTCCTCTCTGGTCAAATGAAAATAAACTTTAAAAAAAAAAATAAAAAGACACTGTCAGTCTGCCTTCCCTCACTTCACCGGGGATGGGAACTGGTGAGGGAGATTGTGTGATTAGTTGCACAAGTAAAAAGCCTCTTCCCACCCTGCCACTTTTTGTAGCCAAGCGTGTTTCATCTTCCTTCACCTGGATCACGTTTCTCCACATTGCCAGCTTCTTGTATATAGACAGGGCTGTCCCCTCTTCTTATATCCCACATAATCCTGTGACTCTTTCTACACCAAGTGTCCCTTAGACTCAGAGTCTTGTAGGGCTCCACATAGATCATCCCCAGTTGGAGGAAACTGCCTAATGGGCACTGCTGCAAAGAGTTGCCTCCCCTGAACATGTCCTTCCTTTCCCCCCACAGACATAACCAGTGCGGTGCAATCCAAGCGAAGAAAATCCAAGTGAACAAGCTGGATGGCGACTTGATACTTGTAAATGTGTGTGAATTTTACAAAGGGCAATTTTGAGCTGTGACTTTTTTAAAATCCATTTCTATATAGTTAGTCATTTTAATAATGTGGCCCCTTTCCTAGTCCCTGAAACCAGTTTCGTAAAGTGCAATGGGGAAAGCAGGGTTGTTGAGCCCTTTTAGTGTTGCAAGATGAAGTTCAAGGTTTCTAAAATGTTGCCAGGTATTGAGAGGAGCTAATGCCACTGTAAATGTTATTAGTTTTCACATTTCCTAAGCAGCCTAGAGTACAGGGTGAGCATTTTTAGATCTTTTAATGTATTGTGCTGTGGAAGTACTGTGTGTGAATAGCAGTAGTGGGGGCAAAAGCAATCCTCTTATTTGGAAATGTTGTAAATAATTTTATTATATAGTGTTTTTGGACGTATTGTTGTAGAAATGGACCAGTGAATAAAGAGAATCTAAGGGTTTGTACAATGTGAAATACTGAATGTGTTAAATAAATGTCATTGTCCTAGAACATAAAGGCATGTTATTGGTAAGGAATTATTGGATAAGCATGCTCTATCTTTGGATCATAATTGAGTAGATCCAGCCTTCTTTGTGAATTAGATTCCCATTTTACCTTCTCTGGACCTGAGATGCTCACCTAGCAAGCTGAGGAAAATACACATACTTGCTCAGTCAACTCATTCTTGGCTTTGAAGAAACTACCCTGTCCAGCACTGCACCAGGTACTTTTATATTTAGGTCAAATTTCTTTTGGTTGCAAGTAACAGAACCAGGGACAGTAAGCTGTCAGCAACCAGATGGCACATTTTTTCCACCTCATATATCTGCTTATCTATGCTCCAAAACAGTTGTTTACATTTCCTCCATTCATGAGGCAGGCCCAGGCTGACCAGCAAGATTGTTCATACCAGCTTGATAAATCTAGTCCAGTTTAGGAGAGATTTCCACCTTCCACAGTCCAATTCTGTGTTTATTTTGGGCAGCTCCCAAATTTAAGTGGTCATTTTGTGTTACATACTGAAGAGATATCCACTATATATTACTCTCTGGCTGCCCCATTTCTCATCTGCATCAAGCCAAGGGTGACTTCTCACGTCCAAGTGTTTCCCTTTTCTGGCTCATTTCTCACTTCAAGATATGTATAGTCCCCAAAGACAGCCATTTCTGCCCCATTCTGCCTCCACCCTTCATGGGATACCAGTGCCTGGGCCTTGACCTGCTTTGTCCCCTAGGATTACGGTTACACTTCCTCCCTTTCCCTACAGTGGCCTCTTGCCCTTGCCCTTGCCATAACCCAGTGCCTGAGACCAACAGGATAAGTTGGTGATTTCGTCATTCTTTGTCACTCTCATCTGTTTCAACTGTCTTTATATGTGTCTTGCCATAAAGGTACTTTAAAAGTATTTATATACCAGACCCCACACTATCTGGCTTTGTTCCCAGCAAGCTTATCTACCCTCTTCCCTCATAAGACATACACACTAGGACCAAAGCCAGCTTAATAATAATACACTGTGCCACTACTGTGCTTGAGAGTACAGAGTGCTTCTTATACTTTAGTTCAAGTCAGGCAGAAAGCATAATGTGCTTTAAATAGATTTTTATTTGTTTTTCTTTATATTATTTTTTTCCCATAGAGGAAATAGCATTACAATCTAACAATCAGAATCCTGTTACACACATACACAGGCATGCCACATGACCAGGTCGAGGTGGTTGTGTCCTTGAGTCTGTCGACACATCACAACATGGTCAGCCAAAGACTCAACACAAAACACCCAACAAAGATGCACTCAATCTGGTTCCATTTGGAACTAGGTGGCAGGGCAACAGAAAAAGTATTAGAAGTGGGCTATGGCGTGTCTGCATTCAGTCCCCTCACATAAAGCCATGTGGATCTGAGGAGGCATCCAAGAGCTCTGGTGGGGTCTTTGTTGCACCTAAAACATTACAGGGCAGAGCAAGTTCATCCCAGGGCTCCAGGAAGGGGGTTGGGGAGCAGGCAAACTCCAAAACAGCACCAAACTGCATTCATACACACATGATGCCCTGCTGGGGCCAGACTGACAGAAGCTGGAAAGGGACACCCAGCTCAAGGGAACCATTCAGACTTACTGGGAAATACCTGGAATTTCCTTTGATGTACTTGGGACTCTCTCTAGAAACAGGGGTCCCTCTGACATAGTTTTGGCAAAGTGCTGGTAGTACAGACATTAATACATACTGGTACAAACTTCTCCAGGGTCTCTGAAAACAAGTCAGGACAGACTCTCTAACCCCCTCCTAAGGTTGCATAGGACTTTGTGAATTCTGGTTCCCTCATGTATTCAAGTTCTGTGGGGTTTTATTTTTTGTTGTTGTTTTTTTTGTTTTGTTTTGTTTTGTTTTTTTTAAAAAAAAAAAGTCCCGAAGCATGCTTAAGGTGAAAGGCACATACACAGTCAATACAGTATGACAAGGTCTGATGCTTCAGGAGTCAGACTAACAGGAGACTGAGTAGTGTTGGTTCTTAGAAATCTATACACAATTAAAGTATTTTCACACTCAAATGCTACAGAATCTATCGCAAGGTACAAAAAACTACAAGCTTTGCAACCAGCTAGGTGAGAGAATGGAGGGTTTTAGAACTCCAGGAGCCTCCAGAAACATTGGTAAGGGCCTTTTAAATTTGAGCCAAAAGCCCTATAACTAAAACTCATCCCTCACCAGAAGGGTCATGGGACTGCCCAGGACTGAGCCTAGGCCCCAGCTGGCAGTGAGGAGTAGGCAAGAAAGGTTGGAGAGAGTTTCAGCTCTTGGGAGTACTGAAGACCCTAAGCTGGCTGTGAAGTAACCAAGAGTAGTGGGAAGAATAAAAGCAACGAGGGTGTAACAAGAACTTGGGGACAGGAGCATGGTCATCTACAACTGCAGCCCTAGTGGGTTGGCATGGGGACCCTGATCTGCTTTTAGTGTCATTTTGTTTTATTCCCTGGGGTAGGAAACCTCAACAAGGCTTCCTCTGTCCCTATCCTAGCATCCATAGAGATATCTCTTCCCTTCCCCACACACCCCACGTGAGGCCTGGAACTATAGGGTCAGGGAGGGCAGCTACCTCTGCCCTTGATGGAATACAGTTTTCTCCAAGTCAGCTGGGCTGTGAGGTCAGGAAACCTGGAATTGGAGCAAGGGGGGTGGGGGAAGACCTATGTTAGTATGTAACAGGAAATCTTCAAAGTTTCAAGGAAGAAAGGGCACACACTAGAAAAGGACAGATAGAAAGAGTAAATGGGAAGCAACTTGGGGCATCCCAAGAGGCTGTTGCTGGTGTCTGAGCCCAAAATTCAGTCCCATCATGAGAAAGGGAAAGCTGGCTGCCCCTATCCTGTCTCACTTATTATGGAATCAAGTTCCCTTCTCCAGGTAGAAGGCAAGGGGACCATTTCTCCCCAGTAACCTAGAAAGAAAGAGAGCCTTGGGGAAGAAAATGAGAAACGGCTTCCTGAAGGCTCTACACCTGGATAAGGGACCATCTGAGGACTGAGACAGTGGGGCTCTTGGCCTCCTACTCAAAAGTGTTTATTCTGAGCAAAGTGTGAAATACAAGGCCAGAGGCAAGACAAAGGCTGAACTTGTCAGTCTCAGGATGGCTTCAAACCCAGCTTGTCCTCTCCAGTATCATTCCTCTGCATTCTTACCCTGGGGTGTGTACCCTTTCTTTGCCTAGAAGCCCTCTGGGCCTGTATCTCTCCTAAACTAGTTCTAGCACCTTGGGCATATGAACAAATGGCCAGGATGGCAAGGCCTTGCCCAACTTCTACTCCTAGGGTGGCATATCATGGGTGTGGTGGCAAGGTACTAACTAAGCCCTTCAGGCTCAGGGGCCTGTGCAGGGGTGGATTTCAGAAAGATTTAGGAGGTAAGATTATAGGAAAGGTAAGTGGGGGCAGACTCCAGGCTCCAGCCTGAGAGCAGAGCTCTGCCTCTCCGAACAAGCACAATGCCAGCTCCCACATGCTCCACTCCTTATAACTTCTCAACCTGTCTGTCCTGTCTACATCTCCTGTCTGTCCTGTCTACATCTCCAATAGGCTGCCTCTTGCCCTGATTCCCTCCACCGTCTCCCTCTCAGTCACATCACACAGTCCTCTTACACATACTTTACCTTTCCAAGCCTGAGTAGCTCCAAGGAACCTAGCCCCCAGGGCAGAGGGAAGGGGGAGACAGAAAACCCTGAGCCTGAGCCCTTGGTGGAGAGCAAAGACAGGAACCCAGGCCACTCTGGTCAGAACTGGGCTCAAGGTCCCCTCCCCCTACCTCTTTGGGAGGGAGTTACTAGGAGTGAATATAAGGAGAGCAGGAGTGAGTGTAATGCCAGACATGGGACATGAGTTGTGTAAGGTAGGAATTCAAGATGGGGGAAATGAGCCAGATCAGGGAAGGAAGAGGCTCCCAGAAATAATGGGCCAGAGGTAGAGGAGTGGAGGGCAAGAGTGGAAGGGAGAAACAGGAATGGAGACCAGAGAAAGGGGATGGAGGATTACAAAGGTGGGAATGGAGAAGCATGGAGGATTAGTTACTGGGCATGGCGGCCAGAAGAAGGGAGGGGGGAAGGAAGTGGAAGGGGGTTCAGTGGCAGATTAGAGGATAAGATAGGGAAATGGAGGGAATCCAGGGAGGAAGGGCGATCACCCCACCTCACACTCTAAAGAGAGCGAGCTGTGGTGTTCAGCCTGAGCTGGGCCGCGGCTGCCCCTCGAGCAGCACACTGGCTGCAGCGGAGGGCCCGACGGGGATCAGGACTAGGCCAGGGGGTTCGTGGCGAGGCCAGGGGACGCTCAGTAGTTGAACTGGCGCTGGCACGGCTGATAGAGGAAGCTGCCCTGGTGCTTGGGCCGGCCCTGACGGTTCTCGCGGGCGCGGTTCTGCCGCTGCATCACCTTGGCGCTCAGCGCATGGCGCTCCGCCCGCTGCCGGGCCCGCTGCAGCCGCCGAGCCCCGCCGGCCTTCTCCAGCAGCACTGCCCGCGCCGGCAGAGGAGCAGCGGCGTGGTGCAGGGCCCGGGGCTCATGGTGGACAGGAACCAGCTCCCTGCAGGGACAGAGCAGAGCTTGGTCAGGGCTGGACAAACCGGAAGGGGCCAGGAGTCGTTATGCCCCACCCTGTCGCCCGCTCCCTTGCCTTGGCGCAGTGGTGTCTCTGCTGAGTGAGGTACCCGAAGCCCTTCTTGTGGGTACCAACCCTCCCCCCGGTCCAATCAGAGATGTCTCCTCCGTCCTACCACGTCACAGGTAAACCCGACCAGGGGAAAGCCGGACCCCAACCCCTCGTCTCCGCCTTTGCCTTCACTACCAGCTCCTAGAAGCTCCACCCGTCAGGTGCTCTGGGCTCACCCGCAGCGCCTCCAAACCTGGCCCAGGCCTTTTAGCCCCGTCTCCCCCAAGCTCCGCCCTGGCAGGGAAGCCCCGCCTGGCCTCGCCCCACCCACAGCTCCTTTACCTCAAAGACACGCCTCCCTAGGCCGACCCGCAAAAAATGCCCCTGCCAGCTCCGGGACTGCGGACTCGCTGCCCTAGCCTCCATGCCTGGACCCTTCTACCTGGACCGCCAGGCTCCGCCCCCAGCCCGCTCACCCGTCGCTAAGGTCGCCGTCAGGCAGGGTAGTGTCCGGGTGCGGGGAAGGGGGCCCAGGCTCCAGCACTATGGTGCTGCCGGTGACGTAAACGGACATGCTGGGGTGTTCGATGAGGAGGTCCTCTAGGGGGCTGCTCTGGAGGCGGGCGGGCCCGAGGCCAGGCCCCTCTGCAGTAAAACAGGCGGGAGGGGTAACAAACCAGCTCTCGTCCATCAAGGAGGGCGCGGGCGGAGGGCGGCCTGCTGGGGCAGGGGCGGCCCCGGGGCTGAGTGGAGCCGCGTAGCTGTCTATGGGGCGCGGGAAGGGGTGCCATGCGAGGAGGGGGCAGCGGGGATGGACACACACACACCGGACACATGGGGGCGGGGAGAGAAAGGGCATCATTAGTCAGACCCACAGCCCCTGCCCCGCACTCGGGGTCACCCACGGGCCAGGAACCTCGGCCTGCTGCCCTAGGGGACCTGAGGTGTGGGTCCCAACACTGCGCCGCCAGGAGACGACCCAGGCTTGCGTGGAATGGAGCCCTCACCCCCTTTCCAGTGTCCCTGCCTTAGCCTGGTTTGCCTGGTAGGCTTGGGGAAACTCCCCAGACTCCTAGCAGCTCCCATCCCTCCACTCCTGCTGCTGCTGACTTCATGGGCCCGGGGGTCAAGAGTCCTGACCCCTGACTCGGGCCTCACCCGGCAGGTCAATGATGAGCCAGCCGTCCACTTCATCTTCCTCGGAGACGAAGGCGCGGGGGCAGTCGGGGTCTTCAGGAGGCGGAGGGGTGCTGAAGAACAGGCTGGCGAAGCGCTGGAACATGGTGAAGGGCTGACGCAGCCTCACGGGGGCGCCCTATGGCAATGAAAAAACCTGGGAATACCAGAGAGGAGTCAGCCATCCCTGACTGAAGTCCACCCCGCTGCTGGCCCACCGCTGGCCTGGGACAGACAGCAGAGGCTATCGCTCCCAGGCCCCAGGGAGTGATAAAGAATACAACAGGGATGTGTGGGGAAGCTTTTCGTGTGTATTTTTTGCATTACAATCCAGGCTTTTCTATCTTTTGTATGACCTTAAAATATAATTTAACTTAATCTGTGCCTTAGTTTTCTCATCTGTCAAATGACAACACTAATACAATAGTACCCTCTTCTAGGCCCTTATAAAGAATTAAGCAAACTGGGACCAGCAGTTGGCGTAATGGCTATGTCACTGGACTCCCATGTAGTTTACCACAGTTCGAGTCCCAGACCTGGTTGCTTATACTCATGCCCAGCGGGTACTCATGTGTGCCCAAGGTCCCCAAGAAGAGAATGGAGGAGAAGGAATTACGGTGGGCCATACCCCCTGGGGGATGATTTCTCGCTTTCTGTCTCTCTGTCTCTCTCTTTCTGGTGAGTGCACGTGCCCTATAGCAAAAACCACTCCCCCCCCCAAAAAAAAGAATTAAGCAAACTAAAAATAGTATTCTTCTCTGGGCTCTAATAAGAACTAAGCTCTACAAAGTGCTTAGAACCATGCTTGGGCATTTGAATCCATGCCCAGAGGTGTCACTCATTAATCGCTACACTCCATTGTTTTTGCTGGGTGTCTGTCTGGGTTAGGCATTTTTAACTTGGTGGCCAGGTGCCATGGTCTACATGTATTTTTCTGCAAAGAAAGATCTTGGTTTTCATCATGATTTTCTACAGTAGTCCTTGACACTGCCCCCCCCCCACCAGAGATTAAGAACAAGTAGTTTGAAAAGCACAGTTTAAAAAAAGAAAAAGAAAAAAAAAGGAAAAACACTGGCTAGCGGAAATCCCACAGTGCTGTTACCACCTCTCCATGTGGTTGGGCAAGTTTTGGTTGTGTCTGTCAGATGAGGTGTGAAGATCCTATTCTGGCAGGCCCTCCCCCATATGACCCCTTTTTCCCAGGCTCCTGCTCAAGGACAGCATCCTTGGCTAGGAGAAAGAAGATCAGGTTGCCTGGCCCCAGGAAGATAGCAGGTTAATGGGAGGTGATGATATATGAAGGGAGCTGTCAGATCTCCTTAAAGATGAGCACTGTGTGGGACTAGCAGGTGGTGTGGTAGTTGGGGGCGCTGGACTCCCACATGGCCGACGGCAGTTTGAGTCCCAGACTTGGTGGCTTGCTTTCTCCTTTTCCCTTTCTCTGTCTCTATGTCTCTCTCTGGTCAAATTTTAAAAATAAATAAATAAATAAATAAATAAATAACAAATAGAATTAAATAATTTTTTAAAAAACATGGTGAGCACTGTAGATTGAATCAGGACCAAGAAAGCCCGCAATCAGTCCTCCCCTGGGTGAAGATGAGGAAAGAGGTCCCCTGCTCCAGGCAATAGAGACACCAAGGTGGTGACTATAGATAGATCTGCCCCTTTCCCAACCCCAGCCGCTTCAGGATTAGATCTTGGCTGGAGGCTACTGGCCAGGACCCCAGGATGTCCCTGAGGCCTCACATCTGTCCCCTGAAAGTCAACAGTTTGTTGCTGAGCCACTAGGGGTGTTTCCACAATTCTAGTAGAACTTGCCGGGACATGTCCATATTTCCATTTCCTGGTAGAATCTCTACTCTTCCTGCTAACCCACCTGGAGAATCTCTATGCTCGTTGCTGCCTATCCCATTTCCTAGGGAGTTTTTCTCATTTGTCACAGAATCACCTAACCTCCATATCCTGAGAATATTTCTATACTTGAAGCCCCATTGTGAGCTCCAGAAGGAGGTGATCCCTGGTGAGATGGGTGGGAGATCTATAAGGGTTAAGAAGGCTGGGCAGCCTCCAAGTAGTATCTGCCCAGCACACTCCACATATCTCAGCCCACCAAAAATCCAGAAAGTTTGGTTCCTCCTGAAGTAAGGAATTACTGGGGCCTTGATGAGGCATACAGCTAAGAGCCTACTACTTCATTGAGAAGATGAAAGAGAAGTTAAGAGCTGTTTCAGAAACCATCATGTTCACCCAGCCTCTTTTACTATCTGAGAGTCAGAGGCAGGACACAAGTCTATCCAAAGATACACAGCTAAACAATGGCAGGGCAGGCCTAACTAGTCCCAGATCACTGAGTGTCCAGAGTGTACAGAGTCTGGAAAACCTCAGCAAACGATCTCCAATAATACAATGATATAGAAAGTCCAGAGAAGTCAAGTAGGGGCCTTGATCTAGCACTGTCCCTCTGCCCAGCTCTGAAAAGTGCCTGGGGCTCCTGGCCCGAGGATTCAGCATGCATTTTCCAGAGCACCCACTGTATGCCAGAGCCTTCATTGGGCCTTCTCAAATTACAGACAGATTTAGTTAAGAAAAGCTCTGAGGAGAAGCTCCCTGCCTGCAGTCACACAGCAAGTCAGTGACAACCAGGAATGACTGCAGCACCAGCCAGTCAGTGCTTACCCTCACTAGGGAAGCCTCCCAGATTTTCTTCCCAGCCCTGCCAGCTTCCTGGTTCTCACATTCCCAGCTCTGCTCCAGGGAAAACCATTCCCTTTAATAACTACAGCAGCTGTGCCCAGAATAGCACTTTAGCCCTAAGCCACCCCTACCCCAGCCCATCTTTGAGCAAAACTTGTGCTGGGATGCCTGTTCCAGTCTCTAGGCGCATTCACTTGGAAAGTTAGAAGCTGTCCTCTCAGGGCTTCTCCCTCTCTCTACCAGCAGAGAGGGGAAGGCAATACAATCCTTGTAATTACCAGCACTAGGTCAAATCATGCCCTCCTCAGGACCATGGGAGTTGGGAGTTGGAAAGGTGATTCAGGGCCAATAGAGGCAACCTTTGCCTAAGCCCCCACCCCAACATCAGCAGCCAATGATTCACCTTTCTGTGGTTAAACAGCTGGGAGGCAGCGATTTTATTAGGCTCTAGGATTCCAAGATACAGAGTAAGGATAGAGAGGGTCAGGGCCATAAAAGGGGCTCCAATCTCCGGAGACACCCCCGCCCCCTATAAAATGGTCCAGAAGTAAAGAGAACTGTGAAATCAGGATGGTGCTGAGCCCAGGAAAGTGTCCCCAGAGGGAGGAGAATCTGCATCTAGCTACTTGAGCTTCTACTATATGTATGTCCATGGCTAAAGCATCTCTCAGTGACTTTAATAGGCTGCCTTCGAATGAGTTACTTCTCTTTGGCCCTTAGTTTTTCTTCCGTGAAACAGACTCTAAAACCCCTCATTTGGGGGCTAACAGTGACGTAAACTAAGGCGCTGCACACAAGTCAGGGATTAGGAGGATGTTATTATGTTAGTCCCTGGCAGGCGGAGCCTGGAGCTGCAGGGAAGGGATTCTGCCACCATCTGGTGTTGCCCCAAAGACCTGGAGTCCGAGGCCACCCTGAACTCTAGACGACCCCCTCAACCTAGACCCGGCAGTGCCGTCCGACCCCTTAGGTCGCAAGGAGAAAACCGGATCAGAGATCTGACCCCAGTCTCTAGATTAGCCCAGGAAACCGCCAAGTCCCCCTCCAGTCCCGCTTGCCTTTCAACGCCCCTCACCGGTGGCCCAGGCCAGACAGCACCCACCGGGTCACGGGAGGACAAGCGACCCGAGCCAGGGAAGGCGGGGCCGGCCTTGGTGACGTTTCAATGTCATATGCAAATAGAGCGACGTCATGGTCTACCGGCCGGACGGCAACCAATCCGAAGCCGGGAATTTAGCCCCAGCGGCCGCTGGCGGAGACAGACAAAGGCCGGGGAGCTGGGGTCGCAGGGCGTGTCCCGGGGCGCGGAGAGCCCCGAGGCCAAAGCTGGTCTGGACTCACCTGGGGGCAAGGGTGGGGACGGTGCGGCGGGCTGCAGCACGCTGAGGTAGTTGTGCGGCGGAGCGTTCCAGGGTCGCGGGCTGCTCACAGGCCTGGCCGCATCGCGGGGACCCAGCGGGGGAGGCGGCAGGGCTAGAGGTCGGACGCTCGGAGTCACTGCGCTCGCCCGCGGGGCTTTGAGTCTGTGCGGCAGCTGCGGCGGGGCTCACGGCACAAATTGGAACGTTCAAACAGCTGATTGTGACGTCACAAAGGGGCCCGCCCGCCTCGCGTCACCGGCGGCGGAGCGCGGGCCAATCCCAGGCTGCGGATCCCCCTCCCCGCCCCCTCCACGTTCGCTGGCTACTCACTCCAGCCCAGGAGTCGCGCTCCGAGCCTCTGGGGCCGAACCGAGAGGCTACTGTTAGTTTGGACAACCCCCCACCCCCGCAACGGCGACCTGCAGACCTCGCAATGAGGAAGAGCCCGGCTCCTTCCAGCCGGATATTATTTTTCCTGGGACCCTCCTGCCGCTCCCATACACACGCACGTAGCCCAGAGTCATCACTTCTCCCATGGCTTCCCATATCCTTTCACCTGCATCCCATACCCTAGTCCCCCGATTTGTACACTAGTCTCGACTTCACACCAACTGTGCACCTCTGTTCTCTCCACTATACTCCCCTTTCCATCTCACCTCCTCGTCTTTACATTTTCTGTTTCCCCATCCCATTTATCCTCAGCTCCACAGGCTCAAGAGAAAGTGAACAACTCCCTTACCCTATTCCTGGGGAGTTAGGGGGAGGAGAACTTGGGAGCGCTGGGTTGGTGAGACTGATGGGAAATTTTGCAGAGTAGGACTTGGAATTGCACTGAGCTGAATAAACATTGACCTAGAGACGCAGACGGCTCTGCACTGAATGTTTACACACTTTATTTAATAAACGTTGCTACTGGGTTGGACAGAAGAGGGACAAGACGGGAATTAAGAGTTCTGATTTACACATGGAGAAACAGACTCACAAATCTCACTCTTACTATGTTAATTCATATATATATATATATATATATATATACTTTTTTTTTGGAGAGGTTTTCACTGTAGGGCGCTTGCGCTCATCAGACAGACAGAGACATAGAGACAGAAAGCGAGAAATCACCTCCCAGGGGGGATGGTCATGCCGCAATCCCTTCTCCTCCATTCTCCTCTCGGGATCTTGGGCACAAACGCACACACGCCTGGCGTGAGTTTTCAGCCACCGGATCCAGGACGCAAACCGCGGTCGACTACGTGGGAGTCCAGCAACATAGCCAGCCATTACGCTAACTGCTGGTTCCCCTATGTTAATTCATATTTAAGAATGCATTCAACAAACATTTATTGAGCACCTACTGTTTCCACTGTCAGACACCCGTTGACATTAATTAATTTGTGTGTTGGGCACTGTGCTATAGTGATTTATATGTGTTTTTGTTATCGTTATTTATTTTAATCTTCACAACAACTCCAAAAGGGGGGTATCATCCCCATTTTGCAGTTGAGGAAACAGATTCGAAGATCTAAATAGCTTTCCAGAGTCACAAAACTACCGTAAATGGCAAATCCAGGATTTGACCCTGACCCTCTCTATTCTCTACATGCACCAGATAGTCTAAACACTAAGATGCTTCGCCCTCCCCAGTGAGACCTGAGTTCTAGACTTGACTGTGCCCCAGATTTGCTGTGTGACCTCCTGAAAGTCCTATTTCCTCTCTAGGCCTCAGTTTCTCTAGACGTCAAATCAGACCTCTTCCGGCTTCCTTCTAGAGATGACATTTTAATTCCAAACTCCCCACCTTCAGGATTCTGCCAGACCCATGCCCCAGGTTCTAGTGTCCGGAATGGCCAGGGGCTTCGCTGGGGAGAGACCATAAATACACATTCTTAGGACCTTCAGGCCCAAAGGTTCTGACTACTCTCTCAGAACAGGCCTGGTGGGTGAGGGTCAGAGAGCTGCCCATCCAGCCCAAGAGAAGGTAGGGGATGACTAGACCATAGGTTCATGCTCTGATAATAAAACTTGTCCCAATCTAGCCTGAAACCCCAGAGGGATTCCTTGTCCCTGGCAACTACGAGAAGGAGCCAGGGGAAAAAAAAAAAAAAAAAAAAAAAAAAAAAAAAAACCTTAAAGGGAGGAGGAGCGGCACTGTGGCTCTTTGGAGCAGTGTCTCCAAAGTCTCCTCATCCCTGAGCCTCTGCCCATCACAGTCACTTCCTGCAACCCTCATACCCTCTCTTGACCTCTTTGCTGATTTAAACTAATCCCTAACACGCCTCTCCTGTAACACCAATTGTTTGCTCTACAACTTTATATGACTCACAAAACCTCACACTCTCAACACAGCATTCCCTGCCATCCATGATCAACATCCAATCTCCCCATCTTCACTTCCTGTCCTTCTCCTAAGTGTATCTTGTGCTAAAGTCACACTCATGATCTCTTCAACACTTTCCCATCTCTACACTTATGCTCAAACTGTTTCCCCTGTCTGGAATGCCTTCTTGAGGCTTTTTTGAAATCCAGATCTCTCCTTTCTTCAAAAGATTCTACTCACCCCCCTTCTTCCTCTAGGTAGCCTTTTTTTGTCCCTACCATGTATGATGGCTACTTTCATGGGCGGTCATTTATTTGTTCAATAAACAGTAAGTGACAATGACTAATGCTGTGTGTATGTGTCTTCCCAAGTGGATAGTTGGCATCCCAAGGGCAGGATCTTTTCCATATACTCCCTCCCCACCCCCCATCCAGCCTGTGGTGTGTTTGGCATAGAGGAGACCCTCATCCAAGTAGTTACAGTCAGGAGTCTACATCTGGGCTTCTACCCTGGTGCAGGCAACATTCTTTTGGGTTCCAGTTCCCCAAATCCAGAGAGGGGGACTCTTTGTCATTCACACTGACACTCTAAATGACCTAGATTCTGTTCCCAGTTTTAACTGAATCCCATGTCCAGGCTGTTAACCAAATCCCAGTCTTTTATTTCTGTTAGGTCAAGGGACCCATGAAAGCAGGGGGCTGGAGCCCAGTGAAATCTCCCCAGAAATCTTCAAGACCCATCCCTCTCCTTCACCTTAGAGATATATTATTGGGGCTGAGAGGTATCTCCAACTTCAACTTACCCAAACCCCTCATTATATGGGTAAGAAAACTGAGACACATTGAGACACAGAGAGGCCAAAATATTTGCTTAGAGTCACACAGCAGCAGAGCCCATTTACTGACCCTAGCTACAAGGAGTGGGCTTAACATTCTGAGACCTTGGCTTGCATCTGGGGAGCTGTAAGATGCAGGGGATAGCATGCTGACAATAATTATGGAGTCTCATTTCCAATTGGAACATAAGGTGCAATGCCCATATACAAACATGGATATACAAGAGCATCTATTCATACACATGAAAGCATCCATGTGCAAACACACACACACACAAACACATACGCATGACACATGAATGCATACTCACAGGGTTAAAAAAATTCCCATGCCCATCCAGTCCATGCTCAGATGTGAACACTTGTCTAATTTTATAGACTCCAGGATTGGAGGTCAAAAGGTCACCCTTCTATTCCTGTCCAGGCTTTGGGCTTGCCTCACCAAGCCCAGGGGAATCCCTACTGGCTTGCCTCCCCCCAAACTTCAAAGGGCAGAGATGTGTCACCTAGGCGTGTCCCTCTCAGGACTATGTGTATATTGTAGGTGAAAGCCAATATGTGTGCACGGCTGAAGAGCTGGCTCACCAATCCCCTCCTTAAAATGTAGGGTAAGGCAGAGAGGAAGCTCTCTGTTATAGATAATGAATTCTTGCCATTTTACTAATGAAAAAAATTGAGACATGTAGGGAACATTTTAATTTGTCAAGCCCTCTAGAGCAGACATATAATCCCCAAATCCCACAGACAGGCCTGTACTTTAACAAGGGGTCATATTCAAAAAACTCCGACTTGAAAAAAATTTTGTTGTTTAACCCAAAGATGTTTAAATTTGAGGATAACTATGGTGTATGTGCATGTGTGTGAGCCTGTGTGTATGTTTACCATGAAAAAAACTAGTCTGATTGTCAGTAAATCCAGATTTCAATTCTTTTATTTTTTATTATTTATGCATTCGATCACTACATCATTTAGATTGTAAAGAGATTTTACCCAATATGATATACACCACACACCAGGCGAGTTGAGAATACTATACATGTAATCATCAACAGGCAACAAACAATATCTGTGTCCCACAAATGTCTTACTTCTCCATTTTTTCCCAAATTTCCTTTCCTGCACTCTTCCCCTGACCCACTCTCCTTCTACTTTATCCCCAGTGTCTATAACAATTTTCAATGCTTTTGTGTCCTCCAGTCTTTCAGTCTCTACCATAGAGCGTAGACAGTCTGTATATGTTAAGTGGAGACATATAATATCTCTCTTTTATAGCCTGACTTGCTTCACTCAATAATAAATCTTCCATGTTCGCCCACTTTTTATCAAATACCAGGGTCTTATTTTTTAAGGCTGAATAGTATTCCATGGAGGATATGTGCCACACTTTTTCAATCCATTCATCTGTTTGTGAACATTTGGGTTGGTTCCATGTCTTAGCAATCATGAATAATGTCTCAATAAATATAGTTGTGAAGCACTTTTCCGACTGAGCATTCTCCTGTCCTTTGGGTAAATACCCAGGAGTGGAATTGCTGGATCATACGGTAGTTCTATTTAAAGGGCTTATAAGAACCTCTATATTGTTCACCACAGTGGCTGGACCAATTTACATTCCTTCTAACAATGTAGGAGTGCTTCCTCTTCATTACATCCGTGCCAGCACTTTTTTCTTTTTTCTTTTTTTTTTTTTTTTGAATTGTCACTATTCTGATTGGGGTTAGGTGGTATCTCATTGTAGTTTTGTTTTTTTGTTTTTTTGTTTTTTACTTAACAAAAAGTTTATTATGGAAATGTACACGACCTGATTTTTACATCATAGTAAAAACAGGCTATGGGGACATGGGTTTTTCTGTTGAACAGCCATTATTTATACTCGTTCCAAGGCTTCTAACATGATGATACTATTTCCTCGTATTACCACCATTCCAATATTGTTCTGTTGCCCACTAGTTGCCATCTCCACACATTCATCTATCACGAGATTCATAAATGGATCAAATCCCCGCAATATTCCTTGGACATGTCTGCCACCATTTAATTTTAATAATAACTTCTTGTCCATAAATTTTTTCAATTCGGGAGGGTGAGC